CTGAATTTAAATCCTTGTTTAAATACTGATGCGAGGATTTAACACATGATTCTGATGTTTTCATGAGTTACGCATGCACTTTCCACCGTTCTGTTAAATTCAGTAACAGTGATGTTTTTAGGGGCATCAAGTACATAAGCTTTAGGTTGTGAATTTTATACATGCTTTCGCCGAATCGTTGAAGTTAATGCATAAAAACAGAAATAAACATGCCACCTGAAAATGATAAAACCGAATGTCGTGTAATGCCGGAATTGGTGTTTCAAGTGTAACAAACTGATTTTTGTGCTAAGATGTTGCCTGGTCAAGATTTATTAGCAATATAAGGAAATGATTCAGTGCATATAACTATCTGTTTTTAGCATCACGCAGTCCACTAATTTTAAACTCAAATTATTCATGCGGTTTGTTTACAACTGTCACTCCAACCGTTTACGGTTGACGTTGACGGTCTCACGGCTGGGTTTGTCAAAGACAATGCAGTCGAACAACGCAACTAAACTCATTGTAGCTTCTATATTTTTTGATTTTAATCTTCGATCCAGGAAAGCTTTTCAAGGTATCTACCTAATAAAATTTTTCCTTCAACGTTCACTGCGGAGTAACGCTAAGCATCTTAAGTACTGCGACTCGTGGTGTGCCGGAGCCATACCGAAGAAAAATTAGAGGCAGGTCTGGAGTGTCTTAGCTGAAAACAGATAAATTGAAAATGGAACTTTGTCTCACTTGTCAACCAAGCTCAGATCAACTCTGGTATCAGCACAGAGTTGAAGTGTCACACATACTGCATACTTTTAAGTGAGAATAAGGACATGATTGTAGATGCGGGGCGTAGCAGCTCTTCGCTAAATCTAGTAAGTTACCCAGTGAATGTATTGTGGTTGATAAAGTGTTATTCAAGGTTTGTCAAAGTGCCATCTCATACCAGCAAATTAGTATAATTAATTGACTGTTCTGACCGTCGATCACTCCACTGTTTAGAGAAGAGCGCGGTTTTTGTAGCTTCGGTAGCACTTCGCGTCGCCACTTATTTCATATCTGCTGTTTAATATTTCAGCAACATCTTACAAATTAACAAAAAACATAATAAAGAAAAAATCAAACAGTTTTACCTTTATTTTTTTTGCATGATGTACAAGCGTCACACCAACTAAACGACTGTAAACGAATAGGTCAGTAAAGACTTGTTTTCTTCATGATATTGTAAAATTCTACTTCATCGACTAGTCCATCACCATTGAGATCAGCTTCCTTAATCATATCCTAAAACCAGTCTGAAATAATTAACAAATGCTAATTATTGATTCGCCAAAGACAGTACACATTAGCGCAACGCCAGCCAATTGCAAATAACAAGAAATATTTTCAAAATAACTACCGACCAACTCCCGGCTACAAGCGAGCCAGCTGTTGCAGACGGCCTTCAGAGCACTGAAAACCACTACTGAATTCACCTTGAAAAAGGTTCGTAAGAACTTCGCCGTTGTCGGTCCCAAGCCCTGTTGAGAAAAGACGAGGGTTGGAGACCACGGTGAAGTCTCCATAAAATTTAGCCACCTGCCACTCATGGTACTGACGCCATTGAAAATCATACCGGCTCGGTCATCGCACGGGTTACCAAGGGCTGCACAGTCTGTTGTGGGACTGAAGCAGACTGCGAAATCTCAGCGAACAGAACCTGCTGATGGCCCTCTGCCAGCTGTGGGCATAGCAGCACAACAACGGCATACAAAAACAAACGGAACAACGACGAAGTTACCACTCAGCAACGGAGTCGCTACCCGTTCTGAAAGGAAGGTCCAGACAGTGCGATGCCATTATAGCACGCGATGAAAGGGTCAACGAGAACGACACTGTTGGTGGGAGCGGAAATCGGAACATATCTTCACTCAGAGGGAAAGAACAAGAGTTAGTTCATGAGGCGATAAAGTACCAACTCGACATTGTTTTTCTCTAGTCAACGAAGCGCCAAGGCCATGGACTCCTGAACCTCAACGGATGGGATAGAACCTATTCTACTCAGGTGTCTATATCACGACGCGTGCTGAAGCCGGTGTTGGTTTTCTGTTAGAAACCAACCTCGCAGAGAGAGTTATTGTTTGGAAGAGTGACAAAGGAAGGGTGGTAATCCTCCGACTGAAGCTACGACAGGCTAAAGCGTTCACCTTGATACATGTCTATGCGCCCAATTTGGAGGGAGAATATGATACCTTTCTTCAGGAACTGCAGTAGGCTCTAACCGAAGTGCCCAATACAGAGTCTGATACTCAAGGATGACACGCATCTCGTAGTAGACGCTGAAAAATGGAACGGCGTAATTGAAAAAAACGGTTATAGAGACTTCAAATATCGGCCTGAAGTTGTTGCGGTTTTGTGCAAACAACGAGCACTATGAACACCCTTTTCGAACATCGAAAAGTGCATCAGTGTACCTGGCACCGGGAAGCTTATGCACTAAATTTGATGATCGATTTCATAATAATATACTCTGACTTAAGACCCTCTGTAGTGGATGTCCGAATTAAGAGGCGCAAAGCCGTCAACCGATCACCATCTTGTTGTCGGCACGCTGTGCTGTAAGAAATCGAGTACCATACGAAGATCTCGTGGCAGAAACAACAGGAGAATCAAGTGGGAAACACTATTTTCGGTCGGCCACTGATCCCGGCGATGACCACTGACATGGAAACCGAGTAGCAGCTCTTTAAAAGCGGCAGACTAGAGGCTGCCGCCGAATGCTGCGGATTTAAATGGATTTATCTGGGGGTCAGAAAAGATCTTGGTGGACAGGAGAGGTACCACTGACAGTTAAAGAGAAGAAGGCATAGTTCAAGAAATGGGCTGGAAGCAGTATTCTACTCGAGTGTGATATGTCGAGACAAGCAGGGCGGCAGTGAAAGTAGAGGCAAAAGCAAAAGCTGATTCCTGGGAAAAGTCCGGTGAGGTGTTGCAGTCGAATTTCCTCAAGGTAAACAAGGTATTATGAAAGACCATCTGGCGCTACGAGGTAAAAAGAAGGTCATTCTAAAAGTCTTGAAGGACAGGTCTGTACACCCCCTTAACGAAGATAAGGACATTCTTCGGCGATGGAAAGAGTACTTTGAGGAACTCCTTAACCCTGAGTAGCCGTAAGAAGACTCGCCTGTAGAGCAGCATGGAACGAATGTTATTATCTCTGTGGATGAAATTGCAGAAGCTGTGAAAAACTTGAAAAATGGAAAAGCTGCTGGAATTGACGAAATCCGCCCTGAAATGTTCAAGGCATTAGGCGAACAAGGCATGTGTTGGCTAACACGTGTCTGTCAAACTGCGATGACTACGGGAAAGACACCAACGGACTGGAGAACCGGAGTTACTGTACCCGTATTCAAGAAGGGAGGTAACAAGGAATGCTCCAATTATAGCGGCACTACGTTATTGAGCCTCCCAGGTAAAGTCTACGCAATGGTGTTAAAAAGGAGGTGCCGTGAAGTAGCTGACCTCAAGATCCAAGAAGAGCAGTGTGGCTTCCGGACCGGTCGAAGCACCTCTGACCATATATTTGCCGTGCGCCAGATTGTTGAGAAATTGTGGGAGTACGCCCATCCGGTATACATGTTTTGTTGACCTAGAAAAAGCCTATGATATATCCCACGCAACAGTCTGTGGTCATGCGTTCGAGCATACGGGATAAATGCACAGCTACTTAGGACCATGCAATCACTGTATTCTGATAGCAGGTGCTGCATCAGAGTTAATGGCGTTAGTTCAAAACACTTCAACGTTGGCAGGGGTCTCCGTCAAGGCTGCGTTCTATCCCCTCTCCTGTTTGTGTTGTACATGGATGGAATACTCAGGAGCAGCCAAGGCGATGAGCGTATCGGTGTAGGAGATGTGAAGAGGAGAACGTTGTTTTTTCAGACTGTTATTTTATTGGGATGTTCTGAAACTGATCTACAGTGCTCCCTAGAAACGTTCGCAATCATGTGCGACGTGACCGGCATTCTTGTGAATGCAACTAAAACAAAAGCCTGGTTCTTTCTCGTTCTGCCACCCGTTGTTCTCTTCAGATTAACGGAGAGGCAACGGAGTAGGTGGAGAAGTTTTAGTACTTCGGAGCAGTATTTACTTGTGATATAAAATTTGAGGAATAGATGGACCGGCGAATTGGAGCAGCCAGTGGCGTTCTTCGTGAACTAGCACGATCCACTGTGACTAAAGCAGAGCTCAGTTTTTAGACTAGTATTCAAGTCTATCTTCATCCCCATAACTACCTACAGTCATGAGTCGTGGACCATGACAGACAAGCTTTGAACCCTTGTACAAACTGCTGAAATGGGCTTCCGGCCTTACGCCTCGACATGGTCCAGAATATTTACGTGCGGGAGAGCACGGGAGTACAGCCTCTGCTTTTTCAGAAAGTAAGGCTAAGGAACTGTTTCTTGCCAAACCGACCAGTAGAAGGCCCAGGGAACGGCCAAGAAGAGCCTGGTGCAAATATATGGAAGGAGTCTACTCTAGACTTCAGTTGTTTTCTGCCGAAGCTCAGAGTCTGGCGCAGGATCGGGAACGTTGGAAGTTCTGTCTGACGCGTCTGCCTGCAGTACCCGAAAAGAGAATCGGCCATGGAAGATGAAGATGAAACTTGGTGAGGTAGAGTGCGAAACGTGGCTATTGGTCTGTCTAGTTATAAATTATCTGTATTATGGTGTGCCTTGATAAGCCGTTTACAACAAACAAATCACTACCTTCGGCGCTATCGGTAAAGCATTACTATCAATTTGATAGCTATTACTTGCCGAACCGATCGACCAAAGATTCCGGGGATGAAAAAGAGTAAGATTAGGTAAGTTAATCGAAGGACTCTGCTCCAAACTCGGGTTATGATTTGCCCATGCTCAAAAACTGGCACACGATCAAGGACGTCAAAGATACGCATATACGCGCGACTCGAAAATATAAGCGGTCATGGAAATTGATTGACTGACTAATCAATTTCACGAAAATCTGATTTGGTTAAATCCATTTTAGACAATGAAGAGCGCTGAACAGTGTAATACGCAGCAGCAAGTTCTCAAGGTAAACTTCGCTATTTTGAATGACAACGAATGCCACTTTCCATTCAGAGCAATGAGGACACAAATGTAAAACTTGACCGGCAATGCAGTGGATGCGTAATGGCAAGAGCCTGTCCGCTTAAAATATGCGAAGAACAACTTTCATCCGGAACTTCAATGCTTCTTATTTATGAGTCATTCATTATTTAATGTTTCAAACGTATATGGCATGAGGGAAAAGATTCACCGTACTTTCCTTGAGGATTAATGCCGATGATGACAATCCTTTGGAACACGTTCGTAATCAGTATGATTCTCGCAGACACAATTGCCTTAAAATGCATAAGATGCTCTGTTGGCTCTGATTACGATAACATCGTTAGCTAGCCTCTTTTCAGAATTCATGGATGAAAATTCGTTCCAGAGAACTGCAGTCTTTAATATTTAGACTTGCCAAATCATTCCTTAGATCGGTTATCCCCTAGGATTTTCTGGATACGAACATCGAAGCTAAACTAACGATAATGACTTAACATCTGAGCATGTAACCGTTCATAATTAGTAAGAATGATCATGTCCAATGACTGATCCTAGAATTGTATTAAAAGTATCGTTTTATAGAGATACAAATATTTGTCATCCTAGATTAGCGCAGCTTC